ATGGTTCATCCGAATTCTTATGAAAATCAAACGTTCTGATTGTTTCATCAAACCGAATGTTCCAACTCCTCGAAGCTTGTTTAAGTCCATAAATGGACCTTTGAAGCTTAAAAACCATTTGCTCGCTCCCACTGGATATGAAACCCTGCGGCTGTTTCATATAAATGTCTTCCTTAATGTTTCCATTAAGAAAAACAGTTTTCACATCCATTTGCCATATCTCGTAGTCATAATACGCAGCTATGGCTAGCAATATCCGAATAGATTTAAGCATTCCTACTGTAAAAAAACTTTCCTCATAATCAACACCTTGTTTTTGAGTATAACCTTTAGCAACCAGTCTTGCTTTAAAAGTATTATCTCTATCTACACCACGTTTTCGTTTGTAAACCCATTTACAACCTATGGGTACTATACCCTGTGGTGGATCAACCAAAGTCCATACTTTGTTTGAATACATGGAGTCTATCTCGGATTGCATAGCCTCTTGCCATTTATCTGAGTCAATGTCCGACATTGCCTCATCATAGCTTATTGGATCATTATCCAAAAGGAGTCCCTCTTCATTGTTCTCTAACAATAGGTATAGCCTCTCAGGCGCCCTAGAAATCCTTTCAGATCTCCGAAGAGGTTGTGTTACAGATGGTCCAGTCTCTACTGGTATATTATTTGTGGTATTTTGTGGAATTTCTTGTGGTTCTTCATTAAGTTCTATGACTCTGCTATTCTTTGAGAGAAACTCTTCCTCTAAGAAAACAGCATTCCTCGAAACAAACACCTTTTGTTCAGAAGGGTCATAGAAATAGTATCCAATAGACTTTTTTGGATACCCCACAAATTTACATAAGATGGATCTCATATCCAACTTACCTCCCACTAACTGCTTCACATAAGCAGTACAACCCCATACTTTTAAATACTTGTACGAGGGTGTTTTTCCACACTATATCTCATAAGGTGTGTTGGGTACAGCTTTACTTGGCACTCTATTCAAAATATGTGTTGTTGTTTTTAAGGCATAGCCCCAAAATGAAAGAGGTAAACTAGTGGAACTCATCATTGATCGAACCATGTCCAACAATGTTATATTCCTCCTTTCTGAAACCCCATTGAGTTGTGGAGTTCCAGAAGGTGTCCACTGTGAAATAATCCCATTATCTCTTAAATAATCAAGAAACTCATTGGTCAAATATTCACCTCCTCGATCTGATCGAAGAACTTTTATACTACGACCAATTTGTTTCTCTACTTCATTTCTGAATTCTTTGAACTTTTAAAATACTTCAGATTTGTACTTTAATAGGTATACATAACCATACCGTGAATAATCATCAGTAAAAGTTATGAAATAGTAGTAGTTCCCCTTGGCACTAACATTTAGTGGTCCACAAACATCTGTATGGATCAAATCCAACAGACCTTTAGCTCGCTCCACTTGTCCAACAAATGGTGATTTTGTCATTTTACCTTTAAGACATGACTCACAAATAGGCAACCTATCCTCTCCCCTAAGGTCGAGTTTTGGTCCCAATTTGTTAATCCTCTTTTCAGATATATGACCTAATCGAGCATGCCAAAGTGTGAATGAACTATGACTATCTAATTTTCTTTTATTTTGTTGAATTGTTAGGATGGGACTTTGTGGTGTAATGGTATATAACCCATTTGTCAAATTTCCGGA